ATACAACTCTCTGTAACCCTTTTAGCCATTCGAAAAGCTCTTGATAGAGATACAGTAAATCAAAGTACAGGTTTATAATATTTTAACAATGCTACATTCACCAATAACATTAGTTAGGACTGCGTGCTCATTCCATCAAAAGATCTTAAAATGCTCATGGGACATCCTCCCACAGAAGGAAAGAGATCTGGTAGCTCCAAGGCTATAGCAATGGCAAACAAGTTAAGCTGTCAGAGGACTGACATATCAAAGCAATCTGGAAAACAACTACCTCAGACACCCATTTTCAGCTTAGGGTCCTCAATATTTCTCCTCCTATGCGAAACCACAACTCCGCTAATCACAAATCTGGGCAATTCCAGCAACATAACCTCCACACGCCTATGGCAGTGCAAAATTCCGGACATTTGCAAACAGTGTACGCATGCAGGGTCCCTTACCTTTTGACCTGCAGACTTTAATCACAGCTAGTTCTAATCTAGACCCATTTTTAGCTTTGACATTGTTTGCGCACGCATGGACACCCACGAATGGGAAAACCATTCTTCAGAACATGGGTCTGAACAACTGAAGCTGATACCGATTAAACAGAAACAAGATTCACAGTATCTAAAGCCACAGAGACTTTCAGTTTACATAAATCTGCATAATAAAAACCAGAGAGCTGGTTAACAAGACTCCTCCTTTCCAAAGAGAACCAAGAGGTAAAGTAACACTATAACATTGTAGAACCCAAGCTCTCTGTCACCAACTTTCATTAATGACTTCTCAAAGGAGCCAATAGTGCATTGAACTGGCATTTTAAAAGCTACAAATGATCATTGTCTTTAAAAATAAATCCTTTCAAACAAAATAATGTCCCATAAAGCATTATACACATCTAAATACATAGACATTATTAACACAACTACATATTTCAAATGTTTGGCAGTGATTCCGTTTTACATTAGCAGAGTTCATGGTGGGTTGCAGGCTTGCGTGGCTGGATGCCAACCCATTATTCAAGTTTGGATTGGGAACCCATACTATTCCATAGACAGACTGTGGAGAAATGGTTATGTTATCTTAAAGGTTGGTCTGATCTTTTAATAAAGACTGACTTAAGTATCAAGTACAGGAGCATATCAAATATAAGTACAATGCAAGCATAATGAGTTAATATGAAAGGATGGGAGACATTTTTAACTATAATCTAGAAATCTGTGTGGCTTTTGTAAGGATTTATCATGTCCAGGACAACATGATCATAAATATTAAATAACAAAAACAAGAAATGTGCTATTAATGTGGGTTGATTTCATTAATCACAAGTCTAAGCTGCAATACAACAGACACCATAAACTCCACTGACATCTACTTTAACAGGCTCTTTCCTCTCAATCTGGATTTCAACTCAAGCATGGCTTATACGGAGACCACATAATTTAACATCCCAGTGTAGACATCTGAGTGAAAGGGAAGAGATGAAGATAGCATGCTCAAAAATGGGAGTAAACTGGCACTGTTTCCAACAAATCAAAGCATAGGATCCCTCTAAGTACAAATGGTAGTGTTTGGAAGTCAAGAACTTATCTCACAGTAGTAAACAGCAAAGACTTCACCTACAAATGCTCGCAGTGGCAGCGAGTAAAATGTACCTGTAACGCAGTGACACTGAAAAAGAACAAGTCGGAAACAGATTTAGCTGGTCTAGTTTCGGGCACGTGAGGAATTGCTGATGGCACTATTTGGCCCTTTTAAGATTCCTGGCTCGTTCTACCCTCAAGAAATAAGCAATTCTGCTTCTTGTGCTATACTCCCAAGAGTAAGGATCCTGGGTTCAATCCCCAGACTGGGTGTATGTGGGAAACAACTGATCGATGTTTCTCTCTCATATTGATGTTACTCTTTCTCTCTCTCCCCTCTCCTTCCTCACCTCCTCTCAAATTAATAAAGACTTAAAAAAAAAAAACACATCCATTTGCAGAAGCGGCATCTTGGATTTCAGATAAGGTAGTACCAAGAAATACTGCAGATACACTTCTCTGTAGCACCTTCAGCCACTTAAGAGGCTCCATAAATGGCACAGTAAGCCCAAGCGTAGGTTTATTCCATTTTCAGCTCAAGGATCCTCTAAGCAAAGTACTCAGCACTAACGGGAACAGTGAACAACCCAGGTGAACAAAGGGGAAGGGGAGGAAAACTGAGTATCACTGGGGATTCTGTGCAAGGGTGAACCAAAATTAGCATCTGACTACCTACAAACACAAATAACATTTTTTAAACTTTTTTTAAGTTTTCTAAAATACAACTTAACATAAGGAGAATAATAGGATACTAGTGTGGATCCCCAACCCTCCCTGCCTCTTAAGTTATCACTTGCAAAAACACTTGACTGGAACTGAGGGCTGTTAAACTAAAATGCAGAGAGGAGTATTGGGGGGAAAATAGGGAGGAAAATAATTTATCTCTCAAGTTTTAGAACATTTACCATAGCCTAACAAAATATTAAACTCAGAGGATTGGTTCCATTTACTGGGGGGAGAGGGGGCCGACCACTTGTCACTAACGCCTAGAGGCAGGCTTTTGAGCAGCATTCACCCAGAAGGAACAATTCTGGAGAAAATGCTTTAGGTTCCCGACACCTTTGCTTGTCCCTCCAATGGGAGGAATAATTTATCTGATTATATAAGAAAGCTTGGCATTTCCTGGGCCTTCTCTTCTGGGAAAAAGTGTTGAAATCACGATTCTCTGTAAAGTCCAATTTTGGCTGCCAAGTCAAATCCTCTAGTACTTTAACGTTACTGGGCGTTCCAAATTCAACAAAGCACCACCATTTAAATATTTAATAAATAATGAACGAGAAGCAGTAATGGCTTAAAGATTTACTGCAAGTTTGTTTAAGCTAGTTTAGATTTGGATTCTAGTTCTGGCTCTGTTATCTATAAGGAAATCAAGTTAAAGATTTTTAATTACCATATGTATAGCCCAAAGATTTATATGCTCAGATAAGACTATTCAGATCTAACCCTTCTCTTTAATACTTTCCTTTGCACAATCACCACTCCCTATTTTCAAGACTGCCTCTCACACAACTAGGATTTTCCTATGGGGCACTGCCTCACAATGCCCCCAGAAAACCTACACAAGGACAAAACACATACCAAAAAACTCAGAACTCTCAAAGGAGGACTGAGTGCAGTAAAGAGAGCTATTAAGAATTCTTTCCTTATCTTTCTATCTCGGAACTGTAATTGAGATGGTTGTGCCAGAAGTGTAGGTTAATACATTTAATTAAAAAGGTCAACATTTTTTTGACTGAAAGTTAAGTCTGATTTGGCTCATTAACTTTGAAAACAGGCTTTGCCCATTTACATGACAGAACATTTTCTACAAATTCCATCAGCTCAATCTGCAGTTCTAAGTCTTTGATAAAAATATCTTTAAAGCACATACACAACGTATATCCTCTGAATGTAATTAATCATTTTTTAAATATACTTTTGATTTCAGAGGAGGAGGAGGAGATTGAAGCTATCAATGATGAATCAATCATTGACTGTCTGCCTCCTGCAAGGTTAACCCTTGCGGAGATTGAGCCCACAACCCAGGCATGTGGCCCTTGACTAGAATCGAACCCGGAACCTTTTAGTCCAAGGCCGATTCTCTATCCAGAGCCTAATCAGCTAGGGAAAAATTTATTTTTAACATTCAGATGTCAAATTAAACATGTGCCAAAAAAGGGAGACTAAGTAGGGTGAGAGCCGTGAAATGGTAGGACTGCCTGGAGAGGGCACAGGGACATTGTAAGGTGACAGGTGTTCTTCTAGAGCTTGGTTTGGGCACTTACATGTCTACAGAAGGGAGCACATTGTTTGCTAACTGTACCTCAATTTTCAAAATGTGCAAAAGATTCATATACTTTCAAAATTACTTTAGGAGTCTGTTAGCAAAAAAAATGTTAGCATTATTTTCAGCACACATGGAAGAAACTTGTTTTCTAAAACTTTTCTTTTGGCTTCTCTGAACCTTGCAGCCTGATTGCCAACATGTAGTGATACAGCACTATATAACTTGACTGATTATTCTTTTTTCCCATTGTTAGCTTTGCTATATTTCTAATAGCCACCTGGGTTTAGAGGCTTAAGAACATTCCTTAACAGCATAAGGAACAGAGTCAATAATATTGTATTACGTATACATGACGTCAGGTGAGGGTACTAGACTTACAGGAGGATGGATCACTTCATAAATTAGTTATGTAACCACTATGCCATAGACTTGAAGCTAATATTGAATGTCAACTGTAATTGAAAAATGAACATTCCAAAACAGAAAATAAAAGAAAATTAACTAAAGAAATGTTAATCTTCAAGTAATTTAGTAAATGAACATATTTTTGTTTTTACTGATAGTTGGATCCTAATTTTTTTTTTATCCTCACCCAAGAATTTTTTTAATGTTTTTTTATTTTTTTTAATCAATTTCAGAGAGAAGGGAGAGGGAGAAAAAGAAATATCAATAATGAGAAGGATTGAGCCCACAACCCAGGCATGTGTCCTGACCAGGAATCGATCTGTGACCTCCTGGTACATGGGTTGATGCTCAACCACTGAGCAACACCGGCTGGGTGAGGACTTGTTTTTTTTTAAATTATTGATTATAGAGAAAGGAAGGGGGAGAGAAACAAGGATCGGTTTCCTCCTATAAGCTCCCCAACTAGGGATTGAACTCGCTACCTGGGTATGTGCCCTGATCAGGAATTGAACCCATGATCCTTCGGTGCACAGGATGGCATCCAATCAACTGAGCCACACTAACCAGGGCCCAGATCCTCAGCTCTGAAGGGAGGATGAAAGAACTCATTCTCAATTTTCATACATTTACAAACAAAAGTGGTCTGAAACACGACATTTACATGAATAAACAAACAATGGATCAGACTGGATGAAGATGCTCAAGACCTACGTTTTGAATACTTGACCTGACCCTGTTAGTATTTTTTAAGTTCAGATTCACAGCTATGCTATAAAAACCCTAATAACCAAATGAATCTCTTTCTTGCACACAGGGCATGAAGCCCCGGTCTTCTTTAATCTCCTGGCACACTGAAAACAAGTGACAAGATGGCTCGTCTTCCCATGAATAATGTTCCCGTCGCGCGGTCTTTTCTCACATACACTACATGGCTTCAGAAGATTCCGGCAATCCTCCGTGCTGCCCGTCTCTGCTCTCTGCTTGAAAAGGTCAGCCGATTGTTCTCCCATGCTTGACACAGTCTCTTGACTTTCAGAACTGTGTACCAAATCCAAGAACTCCACAGAGTTGCAGGGATCAAAGAGTTTGGGGTTTTCTTCTTTTTTACATGTATCTTTAGGTATAACAACTGGAGCTGATATGGTTCTGCGGCAATCAGGGATATCAATTCCTTCATTTTCCTTCTCTTCTGGTATGGCAGTGATATCAGACGTGGAGAGAGAATGGGTTAACTTAGGACAATCTGAATACCAATCTTTCCTCAGGGCCCAGCACCGAAAACAGTACCTCTTGCTTGGAGAGTTAAATTTCTTGCACTCAGTACACTGCCACTCATCCTACAAAGGGAAGTGCAGCCAATTAGTACTCAGTGGGGAACATGATGCTGAGAAAAAGGAAAGGTGGACCAAACTCTCATCATCTCACTGAGCTACCGAGAGCCCAGACAGTCCACACCACAAGTCTAGTCTAGAATTAAAATACACTATACCCACTTGGATAGTGACACAACTGCCAATTCAAGCCAAAATTTAATATAGCAATCTTCTTTAAAAGTTACATTAATTATTTTGGCTTTCTAATATAAATGGAATTTACATTGTTTGCTTTTCTGCTTTCTTTTTACAACTAACACATTGAGAGACTAAAGAATGAAGAGATACTACTGTCATTCTTTTCTACTAAAAAATGTTATAAAATCTAACAAAAGTGCTACAATTATGAAATTTAGAAACTACTAACTTATTTATTCATGCTTTCTCACTGCTCTCAGGAGCTTAGGTAGCTAACTGTATGCCTAAATCACACCCTCAAAAAATGAATGTTCTAAAAAAAAAAAAATAATAATGTTCTTATCCTTAAATGCCAAGAAAGTTTTTCCTAGTTCTCCATATTAAAATTAAGAGATACTAGAGCTCAATAAATTTTACATGGCTTGCTTAATTCAAAGGTAGCTACCTGGAACAAGTCCAGAGTATTTAATGTGATCATAGCCTGGCTTTCACAGGATCAATGCTTTGACTGACTTGACTGTTTTCAGAATGAAGATCAATCAAGCACTTCAAGTTTAGAAGTTATAACTCAATTGCCTCTAGACCAAAAAGCAGAGACACAAACATTTGTTAAACTGGGATGTTCCCTAGAGAGTCTCAAAACATTCTCATGCCAGCCTACACAAATACTCAAAGGACCTTCATAAAGACATGGCATTCATAAATGATGGTGTGTCATAGTCTAATTGGCATCGACTTTTCTTTTCTAGTAGTTCATAAAATAATAGGGTTTGTTAAAGTCAATGTCATCTTTGATTTGATAAAATACAGTCTATTTGCTTAATAGGTTTTCTTGGTCCAAATAGCCATAGAAGTCTGATGAAGATAGAAACACTTAACCCAGCTACCTATATTACGGTCAAGAACACTTAATGGATCAATATATTCCACTTTATTACCTAGCTATGCACAGATAATTTGCAATGAATTACTATAATGGTCAATAGTGGTGGGGTTGGGGAGGAATCAACACCAGAGACAACCTAAAATTTTTCCTATCCCCAAGCAGCAAAAAGTAAAATCAACCTCCTTATCCTTCCCTTACCCCTCACCCCCCTTTTTTTCTAGTGAGTTAGCTGAGAGGAACACTAAAAGGAAAATGGGGACCTAGAATGAAAATAGAAAAGTAAGAAACACATTTGAGTCTAAATATTAGTTGTCAATTGGTGACAAATTCATTACTATTAACTAAAAGCTTAATAATAAATTAGCCCTCAATTAATATAAACCTGTGTGGAAACAGCCTTTCCATTTCTTTTAAGAAAACATTAAAATATAATTTTTATACCAATAAAAAACTTTAGATAGCTTATAAGTCTATCTTTGGCACTGCAGATGTGCTGGTGGGAAAAGCAGCGCAGTACTATTCTGAATAACTGTACCCACTGCACCGTGTCCAAACAGTTTTTATAGCAGGAGAAAGGCACAAAGAGGCATTAAAGTCAATGCTTTCTATTCAGCTCTTCTCAAATTCTAATAAAAACATTTAAAAAATGTAAAGAAGCCAACATCTCTTAACACCGAGGAAAAGTAAAGTGGGGTTGGGGGGAATAGCACTCTTCACAGTGAACTGTTGGAACATGACCATCTCGGACGAGAGAAGCGTACCTCAGAGGCAACCTCTACATCAGTGTCATCACATATGGACTTAGAGTCCTCAAGGTCATCACTTTTTCCCACTTCAGGCACCTGTGATAGCAAAGGTATCTCATTAGTAAGGATTACCTATTTCACATGAGTTTATTACCCAAGAACAGAAAAGATGAAAGGGCTTCAATTTAAAACTCATATCCTGCCTCCATCATTAACACTTTAAAAGAAGATAGGTTACATATGAGACCAAAAATGATTCTGTACACACCTAGCACCCAGAAGAGAGAGGGTGCCCTAAACTATGATAAAAAAAAAAAAAAAAAAAAAAAAAAAAAAAAAAAAAAACCCTCACTGGGATGCCTCAGCTACTTGGGTATCATCCTTTGCACTGAAAGGTTGCTGATTGACTCCAAGTCAAGGCACAAGCTGGGGTTGTGGATTCCATCCCCGGCAGGAGGCATGCAGGAGGCAGCTAATCAAACTATCAAGTCAATCAATCATATCGCTCTCCCTCCCTCTCTCTCTTTCCCCCCAAAATAAAAAAATCTTAACAAAGTATTAGAGTAGAAAAGTCACAAATTATTAAATGTAGAAATTTATCTTGGGAATCTAGGTAGGCATTGTAAAAGCAGTGTATAAAATAAGAAATTTAGATGTGAAAAATGAAAACAAAGTATTTTAAAATGTTATTTGTCATATACAAAAGTACACCTAGTTAGGTAATACTCTGGCTGTCCTATAAAAACATGCCTACAGACCAGGAAACAACAAGAAATGTGGAAAGTGTCTTCTAAATTTTATAATTTAGAATTTAAAATTCTAAAAATGAAAACCTTAGTTTTATGACACAGTATGTGGAACAAAACCAATTATATACAACTATGACCCTCTGTATAGCAACTCTGTCACAATAATTTAAGTATTTTAAGTCCCAGCTCTCTATAGAAGTTTCCAAATGTCAGCTTTGTCTTCATTCTAGCTACCTGCATTCCCTTCTAATTCTACCCATATAACCAGACTATGAGAACCCAACCATCTTATCTGCCCACCACACACACAGGACATCCCTTTCAGGAACCAAAATTACTATGAAAATCTCTTCAATTAAAAGAATGATCCACTATAGTTCTGTTTTCTGCTCTATTTAGTCAGTGGATATTTACTGAGATTCTTGACTATGTCAGGCACTGGGACCTGCTTCCCAATTTATTTTTGACACTTGAACACGTTTGTATGACTCTTCATCTTGATGTATTCCCATTATGTACTCAGAATTCTAGCTCCCTTTTCTCCCCTATTTAAAATCTATAATAAAAAAAACTCATCTATTTCCTTTTGGGTATAAAATGATTATGGAATCTATTGACATGTCCAAGAAATACGGATTTTTTTTTTCTCTCTCTACAGGCTGTTGTGGCCATTTAGAACTTTGCATTGTTAGCAACAAAAGTCTCCAGAAGAAGAAAACTATACAATGAGAAACTAGGCAAGCAGGAAAAGGATAGAATATTGCTTCTAACAACGGAGGAGCTTTACCCATGGAGTCCTAGTCTATTTTTAACACATTAAGTGCCCAGTCAGTCACCAGTGACTAACACTATCTTTCCATCCAGAAGACAAAACAGGCTGGCGCTTAATGTGTTAAGGTAGTGTTGGTTAACTGAATGTGAATCCTAAAATTAGATATAGAAAAATACTAAGTAAGAAAGGGGGTGGGGTTATTATGGAGTCATTTGTTGTAAAAAGCGAAATAGTATAGGTCATGTCACCAGATATGAATAGATTATACTACACACACATTAAATACAACCAATGTGAAATATTTCAACATATCATTTTGTCGCTTACTTTTCCTACTTCCTCACTTGTTTGTTCAATATCAGCAGCTTCAACTTTTATTCCAGCACCAAACTGCTCTGATACTGACTCATTCAAAAACCACACGTCATCTGTCGTATCTGAAGCAATGACAGTACCTATATCCTAACAAAAAAAACAAACAGTAGTCAGAGGCTTATCAGAGACATTGAACCAACATAAATTAACCCAAAACTCAACGTCCTCATATATCTCCAAACACCCAGTCTTTCTCCAATGGACATCTATTCATTCAACAAATACCTACTATGTAAAAGCTAATGGATGTCCAGCTGCCTGGTAAGGAATTTTGTTTTTCTTTTTAATTTTGAGAGTATGTTTATTAAAGCTCAGGACAGTCAGAATTTTGTATTTTAATAGTAGATCACGTACAACATCTGAGAAACAGTACTGAAGAGCCTAAAAGCTAAAGACTCATAGCTGCTCAAGTAAATAGAATCCATTCTCTGCACTCCTTCCCTCAAGTGGCACTCTGAGAGCCTAGAAAATATCTTATTAATTGTAAGATAGCCCTCCTTTAATAGTCAATGTTTACTGAACAAAAAATGAAAAATACTGACAGTAACTCAAACCTTCTCTCCGCTTTCTGAAACAACTTTAAATATAACTTTCTGCATTCAACTATGGTCATTTATGACATGCTTTTCTATAATATTCCTATGAAACAACTTATTATTTTGCCATCATTTGTCCATTCATTTACTGAAGAAATACTCACTGAACGACTATGATTTGTCAGCTTAGGCAATAGAAGAGAGTGGTTAATATTATTAAAGCCCTGGTCTTACATTTCAGTGGGGATAAACAGTCAATACACACATAACCACAATAAAATAATCATTTGACAAAGTGAAAAGTGCAATGGAGAATGTAAGATAAAGGAGCAGAATGACAGTGGCTTAAATTATGGCATGGCAGTGGAAGTAGTAAGTGGTTGGCTAGGTTTTGGATAACGTGAATGTGACATATGACAGAGAAAGAAATCAACCAAACACTACTCTTTCCAAAGAAAAAAAGAAGTTTCTCTTCAAACATGAAATTTACCTGATTTGTCTGTAAATCAGTTGAGCCATTACTTCTAGGTGTGTAACTGTTTCCCAAATTTCCTAAAAACCACCATGGCAAGCCAGCTACATCCCACTCCTCCAGCCCGAGGTCCAGCCTAGAGGTCTCATCTACAGAAGTCAAATGAAAAGCATAACTATGTATACAAGCCTTAAGAAGCAAGACTCTTTACAATAATTACAATCTCTTTATAAGTAAAAAGTCACTCCTGCTCCCAGTAAGAAAGAATCAGAAACCAAATACCTACTCAGTTGCCAAGCTCACATCTACTCTCCTGTTTAGACTTCATTAGCTATTTCAGAGTTAAGATATCTAAAATTTACAAATACTGCAAATCCAAAATACATTAAGGCCCCACATGTTTCAAGTAAAAGATCCCGTGTCCTACATCTAAATGACACTCAAGGCAGTTACTAACATAGTTTGTTGTTAGCACATGAAATTTTTTTCTTTCTTTGCAATCAAGCCATCTTTTTTTGTGCTTTACTTGTTTCCTACTTTCTTCCTCTCTCTTCTTCCAATGGACTAGACATATCAGTGGCAACCACAGGTGTTTAAATGTGCTGAGATACATACAGATGGTTTAAAAGATTTCTGCAATAATGGGTCCTTGCTAGAATAAGTTTATCCTATCTACTTACAAAGTATGTTGATCCTGTCTATCAAAAGGTATAGCTGTCTCAGGGAAACTTCAACTATCTTTTTACTTACTCCTTGCTGAAGTTACCAGAAACCAAACTCCTAAGACGAATAATAATTATCTTCACCTAGTCAAGCTCTGTAACTTCTTATGCAGGGAATGGAAATAGGCCATTCTTTCCACATATAAAAATTTTGTCCTCTGTACCTATACCTCTCCCTAAAAATACTAAGCTATTTATTCTCAAAACTTACATCACAAACTATATATAGTCTCTTGAATTGGCTGTTCTTATGTTTTAAACAGCCTTCTAAGTAGAAAATAAGCCAAGACTTGCATTTAAAGAAACAAAATCCTACATTAATGCCACAGACTGAAATAAGCTCCAAGGCAATTAGGTAGCTCAATATTCCATTTACACTCAAATGAAATTTGCTTGTAAATTTGATACAGAAATTGATTCAGTTTTAATGTAAACATTTAAAACAATTTCAACAGTATAACATTCCTGCCACTGCTCCAAATGTGGGCCTAGACTAGAAACCATCATGATAAAGTGCCTTTGAGGAATTTTCTATTTTATACATTTTTGCAGAAAATAATTTAGGGGATATTTCATAAATAAGGCTTGGGAAAACTTCCAATAAATATATCACTAATTTAACTTTCCCGTACCACATCTGCATGCATGGCAAAGATCTGATTACTACCACCTAAGGGCAAAGGAATTACCAGGCTTCTATGTCTCATTCTTTGCTCTGAGATAGTATATTTTATCATTTTTGTAAACTTCAAAAAAAATCTATGAAAATTTGCATCAAGCAAACAAATCAAAATAAAAATTCTAACCAAATCAAATATGTACAGGGGCACCAATATTTAAAAGACCAAGGCAGCTAAGTGACCAGGTGGCAAACTGGTAAGTGGGTATCCATCTTCTCTTAGCTTACCAGCTAAAGGAAGGGTCTGCTCCACTCCAGTGACCTGGGTTGCGATAATAAAAGAGCACTGCCATCATCTTCAAAGTTAACAGCAGTGACAGGATTTAAAAAAAAAAAAGATTTTCAGAAAAGAATGAGGAAGAAGTATGACATATGCACCTCCTACTTCACGTGGAAGAGACAGCATTATATTTTTTATTTTTCTATATAACAATATTAATTATAGCTAGTGCTTAATTTGGATAGATATCATACCTAGAAGTTATCAACAGAAAAGTCCACATAGCTTTAATCCAAAACCCACCTTCTCTGGAAGATGTGCACTGATCCTGTGAGGTAGGCAGTGTGGGCATATTGCCTTCTTCGGTACTTTCCCTGGAACCGGGACTTTCCTCTGCGCTTTGCTGGAAAGAAGGGAAAGGCGCCTGTCAGTGCAGTGGAAGTGACTGAGACCAGGGATGCAGCAGTTCCTTTCTGGCTCACCAGTTAGTGTGCCACACAATGGGTTCCACACAAGAGAGAGAGCTCGCACTCACCCCAGTCATCAAATAGAGGCAACATCTCTACCCTTTGTGAGCAGAGCTAAGAGAATCGCAAACCTGGGGGGAGAAAAAATCTCTGCACAAACAACCAAAATGTACTGTTAAAAATAAGCTATCAATATAAACCCTTTAGCCTATTACATACTTAGGCATAATTCAGAAAACATGTGAAATCCTCACCATATACCAAGATGATCATAAGGTTTTCCCAGGTTTGGGGAAGCTTTAAGAATTGGCCTGACATGAATTGAATTGCAACAAGCCTGTTAAAATCTAATAAAAGCAGTTGCCTCCAACACCTATGATTATACATTGTCACACACACACAAGCGCACACACAAAGAGGATGCAACTGGAAGAACTGAAGATCAGAAGTGCTACATCCCAAAGAAAAATTCAGAGACTGGAACTCTGTTATGGACAGAACAGAGAATGTTCACTCTGTCCCTGGTCTGTGAACTCCCAAGAACCTTTCTTATGAAATTTTTACCACATTCATCAAGAGGCCTTGGGAGTCCAAGATCCATAGGTACAGAGAAGGGGCCACTCTGTACAACAAAAGGAGTCACCATGTGGTGATTTTACCTTCAGGTGGTCTTGACTTGGAATATCCAGATTGTGATCCTGTGCGATAGCGAGAGTCTGAGCAGCATCTGGATAGCAAGTAAAACAAAAGGAAAACCTTCCCTGGTAATAGCCATTCTTTCCACACAGAAAGGACCTCAGCAAACAACCCTGGAGCCAGGTTGGTCCCTACAGATGTACCTCTCCATGTTGGTTTAACAAGGCTCTCGTCCAAAAGAAATGGAAAAATCAAAACTGGTAAAAATCACAAAAGCTAAAACAGACTATATTCAAAATATGTTACCAAAATGTAATCTGGGGGAAATGAAAAATAACAACAACAAAAAAATGTTCTTCCATAGCAAGCTTTCAAATTTTAATATAAAAAGTGATTTCAAGAGGAAATAATGGTGCACATTTTTATCATCTCTTCCTATAGGTATTTTATTACCAAATCTGCCTCTAAGTTGTATACAACAAAAAGAAAAGGTCTGGCTCTAACCGGTTTGGCTCAGTGGATAGAGAGCCGGCCTGAGGACTGAAGGGTCCCAGGTTCAATTCCGGTCAAGGGCATATACCTTGGTTGCAGGCACATCCCCAGAAGGGGGTGTGCAGGGGCAGCTAATAGATTTTTCTCATCAATGTTCTAACTCTCTATCCCTCTCCCTTCTCTGTAAAAAAAAATAATAATAAATAAATAAAATCAATAAAATATTTTAGAAAAAGAAAAGGACTGGCTTTTTCATTTAATTTTTATTTTCAAATGTTAAAAAGTTATAAAGGGTAATAAAATCTGAAAATCTTGAATTTCTCACTTGCTTTATAACACAATAGCATCTTCATGTAAACACACATTCTAAATGTCAATGATTTCAGTTTAAATTCCCAACAACTGAATATAGATTAGGTTTTTTAAATCAACAAGTCTCATTTTTCCCAGTTACTATAAACATTTCCTAAGAAGGACAAGGAAGCAGAGAAAGTTTTTCTCAAGACCAATAAAAAGAAACAAAGGAAACAATAACCTAAGAGAAATTCTTATTCTGAAAGAAATGTATTTCAAGGACTTGGACATTTTAAACAGAACAAAAGGTGAAAGCTTAGCTTCAGACCATTTAATAATCTGGACCACTCAGAGGCTATGCATAACTGCCTTGCTTATATATAGGCCTACCATGGATTGGGTTCATTGGCTACTGTCATGTTCAGAGATCTTACGGAAAATAATCCTTCTCTAAATAGATTGGCAGTGTATACAGATCCTACAACTTGTCTCACAAGTCAGTTGTTTTGCACAAAACATGTTCAAAATTGTAATTATAAAGAACATTATTTCTAGAAGTACTGTTATAAACAGAGATACTGAGAAGTTTAAAAGACAGTATTTTCTGACCACAGAGGTCCTCAAAGTACAGTTAGCATACAACACAGATAAAGCACTTCTTTACTGCCATTCGATTACTATCATTTATATTCTAAAGCCTTATTCGGTTATAACAATTAGTAGTGAAAAACAAGTTATCTGAGAAAACTACAATGTACAAAGGAATTCTTAAATGCAAAGTTTATCATATAAAATTCATTTTATTAGGAGGCATGTAGAAATTTGGAGAAATGGTTTATTAAGAACCACCATCATTTTAAATAATATTTTCCTCAGCCACCAAAATTAAGTATTTAGCTCATTAGCAAAGGTGTAAAATAGGTATACGGAAAGTAATTGTCTCATTCGTCCTTTCATATAAAACAGCACAGGTGACCCATTTTACAAAGATCAACCACAGGTACTAATCCAAGTGCAAATCAGAAAGACAAAGTTACTTGTACTATGATTATATAAGGTCTGGATAAAGATTATAGCAAACAATATTTTTGCAGGTGAAATTATTCCAAAGTGACAAAATAAAAAATAAGACATTTTACAGATTTAATGTTCAGAGAAAAAATGTGTTTAAAAAAATTGATTGGAGCAAATTCTATTATAAGCAAGGATTAAGGAGGCAACAATCTGTGGCACAACGGGGAAAAAAGGGAGGTGGGTTTGCTGGCTAATCAGAAACATCTCCTGTACCACTTAATCAATGGCATCTGAAACTGGACTAGTCACTCATTCTATTTTTTAAAATCTTAGTTTCTTCATTTCCAAACCTTCCCCACAGGGTTGTTGTGAGGATCAACTGAAATGTTTGCTATAGAAATGTTCGTTTTAACACATGGCATGTTAAATTCTGAAAAAAAAGTGCAAGAAAGGAAATGAAAGGAAATGAGAAGGTGAGAATTATACCTTCTCTAGATATTTAGAGAAAGATGAGAAAAATTTTACTGTAAAGGAGCAAATATGGAATCCTCTATTTCAAGCCTATAGTGAGTATCCCAGAACAGCCATACTATTTTTCAAGTGAATTTCAATAAAGCGCCATACCATTCCCAAAGCCTTCCCTATCAAATAGAAATTTACAACTGGGTGAAGTGGGCAAAGTCTCAATGAAACCAACAAGGCTTCAAAATTCAATGTAAGTTCAAAATCACATTTCAATGAGAGCAACTTCTCATTTAAAGTGTAAATCTTTATTAGGAATACATTTTTTTTCAACCTTATTTGTTTCAATAACCTACTGAAAGGTAGTCAATCAAAAGTGCTGTCTTAAGTGGAAAAGTTTCATTATTTGAAAATGAGACAGGGTTGCATTTCCGTTGTCTCCAGTTTATTAATTCACTTATCTCTAGCACACCACACTTCAGATCCAAAGCGGCCAGTTTCCTGCACATGCCTAATAAATTAAACTCAAAGTGCAGGATTAAGAGGTATGCAATCAAGCAAAGGGTTAGACCAGTGGTCGGCAAACTCGTTAGTCAACAATACAATAGACTCGCCCAGGCTGTGGTATTTTGTGGCTCTCGAGCCACAGTTTGCCAACCACGGGTTTAGACAAACCGGCCTTCAAATAACAGAAAGCGCCCTAGTTGGTTTGGGTCTGTGAAGAGAACATCAGCCTGGGGATTGAGGGGTTCCTGGCTCGATTCCAGTCAAGGGCACATGCCTGGTGTGCAGGAGGGTGTGCAGGAGGCAGCCAATCAATGATTTTCTCTCATCATTGATGTTTCTCTCCCTCTCCTTCCTCTCTGAAATCAATAAAAATATATTTTAACGAAAAAGACAAAAGCGGCCGAAACCGGTTTGGCTCAGTGGATAGAGCGTCGGCCTGCGGACTGAAAGGTCCCAGGTTCGATTCCGGTTAAGGGCATGTACCTTGGTTGCCAGCACATCCCCGGTAGGGGGTGTGCAAGAGGCAGCTGGTCGATGTTTCTCTCTCATCGACGTTTCTATCTATCTCTCTCCCTTCCTCTGTAAAAATTCAATAAAATATATTTTAAAAAATAAAAAAAGACAAAAGCATTAAAAAAACCACACAATATTTTCTAAGAATGAAATGGGTGAATATTCACGACATATTAAGGTGTTTTGTTTTTTAAAATAAATAACAGAAAGCTAAAACTATTAGGTGAAAGGTTCTTGGGGGACCTTTATACTAGATGGATCAGGTTGACCCCATGTAAGCCCACAGACTCTTATCACTGAAAGAAGGACACAAAGACCTTACATGACTCTGATGTAATGCACCCCCTGTAAAATCTTCCCAGAAAAAAAATTAAACTTGAATCTATTCAAGCACTACTAATTTATCAAAGATCGAACAGAAAAACACGTTAGACAACATCACAATCTACAAACTCTAGAATGTCATGCTACTGAACAAATGATTCATTTCTTCACCAAATAAATGAAATAAAAACACAAGGAATGTTAGCAACCAAATGTAGTGTGGGGGCTCTGAACCAAATGTGGACTTTGAACAAGCCAAGTGTGAAAGATATTTCTGTGATAACTGAGGGCAACTACATAAACTGGCTAATGGATACTATTATGAAATTATTTAGTTTATCATTTTGTTTGGTGTAATAATGGCACTATAGTTATGTTAAAAGGAAAAAAGACGTGATCTGTTAGCAATTTTAAAAGTATGCCCACATAAAGCAAATATGATCAAATGTTAACAACTGCTAAGTCTAAGAGGCGCACACATTATACCAACCTATCTTTAGTATATTTGAAAGTTTTCACAAGTAAAAGTTAAGTGACATAGTAATCATTCTGTGTGATGGTATCCCTCCCAGTCATGCCAAGCATTCCATCTCCACCTTGATCTTGTTTTCCCTCCCATCATTTGCCCCCTTGAACTTAAAGCTATGATATAGACTGAAAAAATATGATGAGACATACCTGCAGTAGCAGTGGTTAAAGCGACAAGATTCTTTCTTAGCATAGCATAGAGAGGGCTGTCAAGAAGATAAAATAAGTAAAAAATAAAAAATAAATAAAAATAAAAAATAAATAAAAAATAATTTAAAATAAAAATAAAAAATAAAAAAGATAAAATAAAAAATAATGAAGTTTCCAATTAAAATGTTAAGTGAGTTTCTCAAACACTATCTCTGAACTTCTTAACATGTGGAGAGTATTTTCCCCAGAATAAATCTTTTGTTTTCTAAAATTGATTTTAGAGAGGAAGGGAGAAAGAGAAACATCAATAGGTTGCCTCCTGCACATGTCCCTACTGAGGATCAAACCCTCACCCTGGGAATGTGTCCTGACTGGGTGTATGGGATGGGAGGGGGCTCCAACCAACTGAGCCACACTAGCCAGGCAGATCTTTTAATTATTAAAATATCAATATGTTCTCAGTGGCTGAGCATTGACCTACGAACCGGAGATCACAGTTCAATTCCCAGTCAGGGCACATGCCCAGGCTGCAGGCTTGATACCCAGTAGAGGCAGTCAATCAGTGATTCTCTCTCATCATTGAGGTTTCTATCTCTCTCCCTCTCCCTTCCTCTCTGAAATCAATAAAAACTATATTATTTTAAAAAACTAATTAATTTACGTTTTATTAATTTAGCTAAGAGTAACCAAAGTGGGGAGTTTCCTTTGCAACTACTCTTTTCTTCTAGGAGTTAGTTAGGGAGTGCTGGTGGGAGTCTTACCAAAGAAAGACAAAATGAAGCTATAGAAAGTCAACGCTGCTTCTCGATTGCTAATTAGCCTTTGATTGTATAAATAACCACAAGTCATAAAAATCACAGTAGGAGCCCCTCATCAATCTCAAACTGCCCGGAAATTCTACATTGCTCATCATCTCACTCTTCCTCTCTCTCCAACTGTTTCACAAAACTCTAACCTAGTCACATCAAGCTCCCTAATATCCAATCCTTCATGCATGATGCTCAACTGGCACTAAGCCCTCTTTCAACCGGCCTTTTCTACTTGAATCCTGACTCCTATATTATCCTTCGGCTCTCAGCTCAAATATCAATTTTTCTAGAAACCTTTCCGTGATCCCTAAGACCATAAACCCCACCCATAGTATAATTTTACCTTATCTATACTAATAAAAGGGTAATATGCTAATTAGACCGGGAGAACCTTCTGGACAAAGCCATGGTGGCAGGGCAGAGGCAGAGGCGTTTAGGAGCAATGAGGCTAGAAGGAGAGGGCAGTTGGAGGTGATCAGGCCGGTGAGGGGAAGGGAAGGGGGGGAGGGAGGGGCCAGTTGGGGCGAGATCAGGCCAGAAAGGGGGGGCAGTTGAGGGCGAGCAGACTGGTGGGGGGGGGCAGATAGGGGCAAACAGGCCGATTGGGGATGGGGGTAGCTGTTGGGGGCGAGCAGACTAGCAGGTGGGAGCCAGTTGGGGGGTGATCAACCCAGCAGGGGAACAATTAGGCATCATTTGTAGGCATATATAATAAAAGCCTAATATGCCAAGTGTCTGGTGGACCAGTTGGCCGTTCAACCAATCAGAGCAGGATGGCAGAAGAGTGGTTAGGATGTAATCAGGCTGGCAGGCAGTAGTAGTTAGGGGCAATCAGGCAGGCAGACAAGCGAGCAGTTAGGAGCCAGCAGTCTCAGATTGTGAGAGGGATACCCCCTATGGAATTGGGCCTAAACCAGCAGTTGGACATCCCCGGAGGGGTCCTAGATTGGAGAGGGTACAGGCCAGGCTGAGGGACACCCCTCACCACCACCATGCACGAATTTTGTGCACCGGACCACTAGTAAGGGGAAGAGCACCAGTCTCACTACACTTTAATTAAGCCCCATAAAATTAGAGACTATGGCTCCTTACTATGTTCTCAGTGTATCATAGGCCACCTGACATACGTAGGTCCTTAAATATTTGTTGACTAAATGAATAGATAACCACTAATAACTTATGGAGATTAAGTAGTTAGGTATAAGCACTCTTTTTACCTGGGATCTTTCACAGAGAAGCTCTGACATCCTAGGAGTTCTCCCAAAAGATCTCCACTACAATATACCATATGCTGCTCCCGAGGATCATAAAGCTGCTTCATTGTTATATATTGGCCTAGAAAGTGCATGACCTGCACAGAAATAAATTATCATTAAGAGTTCTGTCCAGCTGCTGTCAAAAACATACAAATTGCCCAGCTGGAATGGTTCATGGTTGAGCATCAACCTATGTGCCAGGAAGTCATAGTTTGATTCCCATTCAGGCACATGCCCAGGCTGTGGGCTCAATCCCCTGGGTGGGGTGTGCAGGAGGCAGCCAATCACTTACGTTTCTCTATCCCTCTCTTTTCTCTGAAGTCAATAAAATATTTTTAAAAACACACAAATCCTATGTAATAAAAGCCTAATATGCCAAGTGTCCAGTGGACCAGTTAGCCATTCAACCAATCAGAGCATAATATGCTAATGACATGCTAAGGCCCTTCCACCACTCACTATGACGTGCGCTGACCGCCACGGGACAGATCCTCCAACCAGTAGGTTAGCTTGCTGCTGAGGTCAGGCTGATCAAGACTGAGCAAGATGGGCCAGACACACCCCGGAGCCCTCCCACAGTCTCGCCCAGGCTGACCAACCTCCTGCATCCCTCCCAGGCCCAATCAAGTACCAGGCCTTTGGTTAATTATAAGGAGATAAGTTAGGTTTATTAGAGGAAGAGGTAACATATATTGGACTGGGGTCCTACAACAGGATAACTGAACCCAAATACTAGGTTCATCCACTTATTATCATTCTGGACATTAACAGAGCCTTACGTTTTATAATAAAAATGTATTGGTCTGGCCGAAATCAGTTTGGCTCAATGGATAGAGCGTCGGCCTGCAGACTGAAAGATCCTGGGTTCGATTCTGGTCAAGGACATGTACCTTAGTTGCGGGCACATCCCCAGTAGGGGGTGTGCAAGAGGCAGCTGATCGATGATTCTCTCTCATTGATGTTTCTGACTCTCTATTCCTCTCTCTTCCTCTCTGTAAAATATCAGTAAGATATATTTTAATTTTTAAAAAATGTATTGGTCTGACAATGAGAAAAAGTGGTGAATTTACCTAGTATCACCTTTAAAATTTTCTCACCAATCCAAATAAAGGGGTCTCTCCTATTACTCAAAGGAATAAACATTAAATTTGCCTGGGTCATAACATTTTGCAAGTCCAGGGGTACATAACTACGAAAGACTTAGTGTATGTTCACATAATTATTTTTGACAAATGAAGTACAATGGTTAATAAACTGTAAGTGCATAAAACACCCGTTAAGTGTTTATTAAAAATTTAATTTATCTGGCTTTTCTCACAAGTTCACAACATGGAAGGAAACAGACAAGTCCATGATTCAAAACTTACAAATGACCTAATTTTATCCTAATGTTTTCTTTAGGTAACAGATTTGTTTTTTAATTGCTTAATAATTAAGTTCACTTAATGACAGTAAGAATTTTGCTCTATTCTCATTATACCATACTGACTTAATACCATACTAACAACTAATATTTTAAAATATTTAGGGAATTCCTCTTTATGCACCTGGTAGGGTCAATTCATAACAGAGCTTATCATATAAACTGTCTCTATCCAACTTTTCCCCCAGTAAACTATGCCATGCTACTGAAGCCAGCATAACTAATCATTTTGATATAAAAATCCACACTTTGGCGTGGCTCAGTGGTTAAGTGTCAACCTATGAACCAGGAGGTAACAGTTCGATTTCCGATCAGGGCACATGCCCCAGTTGTGGGCTCACTCAATGATTCTCTCTCATCCTGGATGTTTCTGTGTCTCTCTCCCTCTTCTGTCCTCTCTGAAAGCAATAAAAATATATTTTAAAAAATAAATTGCCAAACCGGTTTGGCTCAGTGGATGAGTGTTGGCCTGCGGACTGAAAGGTCCCAGGTTCAATTCCAGTCAAGGCCATGTACCTTGGTTGTGGGGCTTATTCCCAATAGGAGATGTGCAAGAGGCAGCTGATCGATGTTTCTCTCTCATTGATGTTTCTAACTCTCTATAACTCTCTTCCTCTCTGTAAAAACTCAATAAAATATATTTTAAAAATAAAAAATAATAACAATCCACACTTTAATAAGTTTGAAAAAAGTAATTATTTAGCAGAATTTTAGAGATATCCAAAATTATGGACTATACATAATTTAAAATGATAAAGGAAATGTGAGCATTCTAAAAATCTGAAATTCCTCCAGATTTGTTTCCTTGAGGGTTTTTAAAGGCTCAGAAGTAGGGTATTACAGACAGGTATTAAGCTTTCTAAAAAACTCAAAGAAAGCTTGATAACTGCCGGGACCGGTTTGGCTCAATGGATAGAGCGTCGGCTTGGGGACTGAAGGGTCCCGGGTTCGATTCCGGTCAAGGGCATGTACCTTGGTTGCGGGCATATCCCCAGTAGGGGGTGTGCAAGAGGCAGCTAATCGATGACTCTCTCTCATCGATGTTTCTAACTCTCTATCTCTCTTCCTTCCTCTCTGTAAAAAATCAATAAAATATATTTAAAAAAAAAAAAAGAAAGCTTGATAACTTTGTTTCTTCTGTTTAGGAAGCATTTACCTTACTAAAAGCAAGCACAGTACATTTTAATACCCTTTTCCACATAGAGAATTCAGCTTGTTTTTGCTTTAAAAAAAAAAAAAAAAAAAAAAAAAAAACTTTAGAAGCTAAGTAAGTTATATAAGTGTTTAAAATAACTCACAGTGTTCAAAAAATTATCTGACACATTTATAATGCAAAGCTACAGCATTTATTTCCTGCCTGGTAGTATATTCTATAAATCACAGACAACCTCATTTTTTTAAATCTTATACATGCTTTGCATTTTAATTCTGAGATCAATAAATTCATGGTTAGTTTTGTTTAGCTGACAACAAATTTCAAAAGGGAAATATGAAATTCAACTTAGCTCCATGGTCTTTGAAACAGAGCAAAAGTTGCCTTCCCAGTACCTCAGGAGGACTTGCCTCCTTTCAGCCAAGTTCAGAACTACAGGCTCATCAGCTTGTACTTCTGAACTGTTCTTAAAACAATTTTCTTTGCTAGCTTACCTGGGTAACAGTGAAGATTTCACCTTGGGCACCTGCTGCCTGCAAAATCTTCAGAAGTGGCAGTTTTGGTCGTACCTAATAAAAACATAAAATAAACCCGACATTTACATTTCAATTAGATTGATTTCTGATACCCTAGGGAACGAGAACTTCCTTCAACTCTTTAAACACTGATAGATACTTATCTAATCCTATATAATAAAAGGCTAATATGCAAATCAGACGAACTTGGGTAAGACTGGTCACTATGATACACACTGACCACCGGGGGTAGACGCTCAATGCAGGAGCTGCCCCCTGGCTGGGCTCAAGGCTGGCTAGTGCAGCGGCAGTGATGGGAGTCTCTCCCATCTCCACAGCAGTGCTAAGGATGTCCAATTGCCAGCTCAGACCCGCTCCCCACTGGAATCAGGCCTAAGCTGTCAGTCAGACATTCCCCGAGGGCTCCCGGACTGGGAGAGGGCACAGGTTGGCTGAGGAACCCACCCCTTCCTCCCCCCCCCCCCATCCAGTGCACAAACTTCGTACACAGAGCCTCTATTAATACATAATCTTTCAAAGCATAGAGTAACTACAGATGAACAGACTAATTACTGAAAAATCATACTTTCAAAAGATAGCACATTCACTCTACTAAATGGCTATAAGAGGAAAAAAGAAAATATGTGTTGGTGAGAATGTGGAGTAATTAGAACGCTTGTGCACCTCTGGTGGGAACATGAAATGGTGCAGCTACAGTGGAAAGCAGTTTGACAGTTCTTCAAAAAGTTAAACATAGAATCTGGACATTACCCAGCAGCTCCACTCATAGGTATCAACCAGTGGTCAGCAAACTCGTAGGTCAACAGAGCCAAATATCAACAGTATAACGATTGAAATTTCTTTTGAGAGCTGAAAACCAACTTCTGAGCATGGGCCACAAAGTTTCAATCGCACTGTACATGCGTGACCGCACATGGTATTTTGTGGAAGAGCCACACTCAAGGGGCCAAAGAGCCACATGTGGCTCACAAGCAGCAGTATGCCGACTACTGTGTTAGGGGAAAGGGACTCTGGAGAAAGGCATGGGTCAAAAAAGTCTCTATACTGCCCAACCAGTGTGGCCCAGTGGTTTAGCATCGGACCATGGTTCAATTCCAATCAGGGCACATGCCTAGGTTGCAGGCTCAGTCCCCAATAGGTGTGTGCAGGAGGCAGCCGATCAAGATTTCACTCTCATCACTGATATTTCTATCTCTTTCTCCCTCTCCCTTCCTCTCTGAAATCAATAAAAATACATTTTTTAAAAGCCACTATAAATACTTTAAAGATAAGTACATTATGAAGTTCGAATCTTTTCTAAGATTACATTTGCTATATTTATAATTTAAAATTTTATTTAAAGAAAACAAATTAGAATGAAGTAAGAGACAAAAACTATCTTATATAACTTGGTCCCAAATTCCCCATTAGCCACCTGTACCCTAAAACACTCTAGTTTTCAGTAACTTCCACACATTTATGGAATCAATGATCCATTCAAATTTATTACCCTTAATCCTGTTGACTAATATGACATTTTAAAATAATACTTCTGCTCTCCATAAAATCCTACAGTCGGTGAAGCGAGCTACACCCCCAATTCAATTTATCCACTTTTCTTGAACTTAAAGAGAAAGAAGAAAGCCTGAAACATTTACCTGCTTGATCTGTCTTGGAGAGCTCCTGCAAGCACTGTCAGAGGCTGAACACTGGGCAGAGGTAGGAAGTGATGCCATTTTGGCAGTGAAGAAAAGTCTGTTGATAAATCCAAAAGGAGAAAAAAATTACAAAATCTCTTCTAAAGTAGAAAATTCTCTCTAGGATTGACAAAAAAAAAAAAAAAAAAAAAAAGCAGCCAGCAGAAATGACAGGTCAGAACGCCCTACACAAATGTAATATACCCTTGCTGAGATGCTTGATACCCTTCTGATCACTTTCTAGTTCAGATACTGGGGGGGGGAAGAAAAAAAAAAAACAAAAAACTGAAGAGCTTAATCAAGAGTAAGAACCATCTATGCAAACTACCAACTTTGCTTCTGGAGCATGAAACTTTTTAAAATTTCAAAGATAGGACTAAGGAGACCAAAGTTTTGCCACCCCAAAATATGCCTTTTGGGATATTGAGTTAAGCTGGTTATTAGGAAACAAAAAACTCACAAAGAACTTTGACATCTCCCCTTTTACTCTAAAAGAATTCAGATAAAAAACCTGCTTAAAAGAAGGGACATTGGCCGAAACCAGTTTGGCTCAGTGGATAGAGCGTCAGCCTACGGACTTTGGTTGCGGGCATATTCCCGGTTGGGGGTGTGCAAGAGGCAGCTGATCGATGATTCTCATTGATGTTTCTGACTCTCTATCCCTCTTTGTTTAAAAAAAAAAAAAAATCAACAAAATATATTTTAAAAAAAAGAAGGGACATTAATATCATAATATAAACTAAATGTGTCAGGGCGAAATCTAGCAAAGCTGGTGTCCTTTAGTCCCACTGTTTGTGGGGGCCCAGTAAGAATTTGTTTATCACATGTTTGCTCTTTCTCTTGAGATAAGTGGGGAGAAAATAAGGTCGAGTATGGGCAGTTCTTTGACCCGAGCACAGTGTATAAGAAAGATTCACTACTTTTGATTGGTTAAAGCAACAGTCCACAAAGTTCATGCATATGCAGGATTCAGATGCCTGAGGGTTGATTCAAAGCTCCAATACATATTCGGGAATGTAAGCACTCTTCTGTTAATTAGCCCACAGCTATTCACCGTTAATTATTCCTGTTTCTTCTCACTCTCAAACAGCTATATTTAGACCATCTGAAATGTTCTCTGGTCAAAGGCAACTAAATTCTAAAAAACTGGGTTAAATCAAGGTGGACATGTATCATCAAGGAAAGATACAGCATGAATTGAAATAGAGAGTAAGATTTAATTTCATATTCTCACCTCTACCTTTTCTCCTTAAAGAAAAACTGTAGGGAAGGAAAATGACAATTTTAAATCAACTTGCTTCAGTTTACTTCAAGCCTTTAACTATTAAAAAGATGACACTCAGTGAGATCTATGAACAAGCCACATCAGGAAAAGGGTGAAAAGAGCCTAGAAAAGCCAAGAGTCTACCTAAAACCATGATGAATAGAGCAAGAACAGTTCTATTCATCATGATGATGAAAAGGGAGTGGTTTTTACTCTACACCTCACCTTCAAATCTCTACCTTTGTTAACCAACGTTACTCCAATAAATTCAATAGAATTTCTTTTAAATATCTACCCTTGAAGAAAACTGTGATTTTAAGACTAATAAAATCACTCTTAGAAGACTCCACTATTAGAGGCATAAATCCCTCCCTCCTATCAGCCTCCCTTGCTACAAAAAAAGGGCAGTCTAATAGGAGACAGGCATAGCTTACATTTTAAAACAGCTAGCTTTTAATTGGCGTTTCAAACCTAACAAATAAAATAGGGGCTACAAAATACCTTCCCTCCCACTTTCTAAGTTCTCCTAGCTGGGCTAATCATCAGGTTAACTAAGAGATTAACAGAAAATCAAAATTTTAATATATATGCAGAAGGAATTCACATAAGCATGAAAATTCCAAAGACAGTGAGGCAACATTGGGCATATATGATATTTTTAGACAAAGGAGAAGAGGAGGGAATGGGGTCTTAGATTTCAAACATGAGAATGGGCCATTTACAGGTAACTGAGGAAGAGTGGAACATACATGCCAGAAAAATTCTTGCTAAGAAACAATGAGATGCTGTGAGGGGCGGCTAGTTAATGAGCCCCAGCTTGACACCCTCCTACCCACCACACTCAATTCAGATTGGGCTAAAGTGGAGAGTCCCACCTCAAACTCTCAGGCAAGAAAGGGGAAGAGGGTCAACGCTTCTTTCTGAGTCTTGTTTCTTAGTAACCACATTAAAAACAATAGCCCAAGGGGCAGCTTTAGGTAGGCAAAATTTTGGTCCCCTTCAAAAGCAATCCTGATCTCCCCACACGTGCTAACTCTGTAGTCCTGCTCATTTCAGTGAATGGCAATTCCATCCTTCAGTAGTTCAGGTTAATGACTTTAAATCATCCTTAACTTCCTTTTTCTCTGACTCCACACGCAGTCCATAAATAAATTCTGATGCTGTCTTCAAAATGTATTCAAAATCTAAGCACTTCTCCCTGTACTAATCCAACTACCCATCTCCAAACTGCATTAGCCTTTTTAAAGTTTTCTTGTTTCTGATGCTGGAGGAGTAAGTCCCTAAGGGAGACTTAAGCCCAAACCAAAAAGGTTTCTGGCTTCATGAAGGAAAGATTTCAAGGCACAAGCCAGACAAGAGGTTAAAACCAGAGCAAATTTATTGAGCAGAGAGGATAAGCAAGAAAAGCTGCTTCACAGAGTAATGCTATCTCCTCACAAGAGGAGGAACACATCCCAACTGGCTCTAGAAGTTGAGCTTGTAGCTGTTTATTGTTTCTATGGAAAGTAGCATATATTGTATGGGGAAACAGAGAGGGGGCAAAAACATTGGAGTTAACTTTAAGCTTTTTAAAAAGATATTTTTAATTTTTATTTATTGATTTCAGAGAGGGAAAGACAGAAACAGCAATGATGAGAATCATTAATCAGATGCCTCCTGCATGCCTCCTACTGAGGACCGAGCCCACAACTGGGCCTGTGCCTTTGGCTGGAATCAAACCTGGGACCTGCAGGCTGACACTCATCCACTTAGCCAAACTGGCTAGGGTTAACTTACTTTGACTTAAATTAACTTATATAATTCTCATGCCCCTCTTCTTTTTCTTTTTCTTTTTTTTAAATATAATTTATTGAGGAAGGGAGAGAAATAGAGTTAGAAACATCGATGAGAGTCACCGATCAGCTGCCTCTTGCACACCCTCTACTGGGGATATGCCCGCAACTAAGGTACATGCCCTTGACTGGAATCGAACCCTTCAGTCCCCAAGCCGACGCTCTATCCATTGAGCCAAACCGGTTTCGGCTCCTGCCCCTCTTCTATTCCACCTTTCTCCTTAGCTCCCAGCCTCCTTCCTTCTGTCTTTGCTCAAATATCAGTTCTCAGTTTTCAAACTGCAACTCCCAACCCCCTATCTCTTCTTGCTTAAATTTTCTTCACAGGACATGTTATCAACCAACACATTACACATCTTAATTATTTATCATGTAAAATGTAAGCTATAAGTAGGGAAGGATTTGTATTTACTTATTTACTATTAACACATTCCCAGTGCCTAAGATAACTATTATATACATGACACAGCAACATAATGGACACAAATATTAATAGTGTGGATGATTTCCAAAAATGGTCCCCAATGAAGCACATCTCCCAACTGGCTCTGTGACATAAGCTAATCAATAGGATGCAACTGTTAAATTAAGTTTTAACTTCCACTCTGGCCGGTTTGGCTCAGTGGATAGAGCATCAGCCTGCAGACTGAAGGGTCCCAGCGGCACATTCCCGGTAGGGGGTGTGCAGAAGGCAGCTGGTCGATGTTTCTCTCTCATCAATGTTTCTAGCTCTCTATCCGTCTCCCTTCCTCTCTGTAAAAAATCAATAAAATATATATTTTTTTAAAGTATCAGATTTTGAAACTGGGGGAGGGCAGGCCTTAGCACTCATCCTTTCTCCTCTTCTATGTTCCATTTTTCTGTTCTCAAAATTCCCACTCATTCTTCTATCTAGGTCAAAAGTCACTTCCTTGGTCAAGGTTTTTCTGACTCTCCAAGGGAGGCTGATGACACCAGAGCAAATCTACTAACACTTATCACCTTATATTTATGTTTTTATATCTATCCCTCCTACACTGAAATCATAGAGCAAGAACAGTTCTATTCATCATGAAGATGAAAAAGGAGTGGTTTTTATCCTATATTTAGTTCAAAAGACTCTACACCTCACCTTCAAATCCCTACCTTTGTTAAGCAATGTTACCCCAATAAATTCAATAAAATTTCTTTTAAATATCTACCCTTGAAGACAACTGTGATTTTAAGACTAGTAAAAATAAAAACGTCTTGCCCTGGTCAGTATGCTAAATGGTTAGCACACTGACCTCCTGCACAGAAGTGTTGCATGTTCGATTCCCAGTCAAGGGTACTTAACAAGCTCTGTTGCAGGCTCAATCCCCAGCCTGGGCCTGGGTCAGGGCATATGTAAGAAGCAACCAATCCATGTGTCTCTCACATCAGTGTTTCTCTCTCTCCACCCCTCTCCCCCTCTCTAAATATCCTCCTGTGAGGATTAAAAAAAAGTGATCCTTCCTTTCCCTTGCTCCATCCTTCTTCCCATAAAAATTTTCCATTTTGTACAACCCCATGAGCGCCCTTCTAATTGCTAGATGGGATGTTGCCCATATTTAAAGCCAATTGGCTCTTCAAATTTACTTGGATAATTTTGCCTTTTTAACAAATTAATAAAACTTTATTTCTTATAAGGAAAAAAAAACACGACTATTCTGACTTTTTAGTTCTTACTAGGTCTGTTACACATGTACAAAGATAGTGTACTAGAGTTAACAAAACCAACATGCCAGGAAATAACCTAAAAATCCATCAATGGCAAACTGTTGAAAGAAACTGTACAACCCTGTAATACAATCCCACGAAATCTTTAAAAGAAAGTATTTTATGTATATTTTATGTAAAGCTGTCCCTTATAGTGTTTGGAAAACTTAAGGTGCACATGATACAAACAAAATGATCGCACAATTGTTTAAATATGTGCAGAAGAG